GCCGGCTGGCACACTGATTCACTATGCATGTAGGCCGCACCCCTAGCGGCAGAAGCTCGTACTACATCCGGTTCGCCCTCTATTGACACAGTCTGGAATCGCACCTCGATCGCACCTCGTATATCGGCGTGAAGACGTCAAACATCAGGATTCGTTATGTTGAGTTAGGTTACGTCAGGCCAGGTTGTTATGCATTGTTTGCACGAACTGAACGAATTTGTTATCTGTCCGGTCGTCCGATGGACGAATTTGGATGAAATTTGGTGTGAACGTCGTGCCATTGGGATCTAGCATGAAACCGTGTTTATGAATTTAAGACAGTCCGTAATAACAACATGGCGGACGAACAAACGCGTGAGGTGGGGTCGACACTAGCGCCACTGACAATGGTGTGAGGAAAGTACGGAACTATTTATAAAGGGAAATAACAACGTGACGGTTGCAGGAGATTCAGTATATTTGACTCAAGCAGGATTCGATTGTATGGCCACAGAGTAGCACAGTGCTAAAGCGTCTTATGACGTATTATATTGATTTACAGTACTTAAAAGTGATTCTGTGAGCCATGTCTGGAAATGTGAGGTTAGGATTATCGATGTCTCAGGGTTGTACACCGTGATATTCTTGATTATAACGTCATCAGGCCCTCTAGGTGGTTACCAGTGTTTCGAGGAACGTATTGTCTCCATCTTCAGGTCGAACGTTGATAATCAGCTTCAAAACCACAATCGACATACAGACCCAGGTGTATATTGAATCCCCAAGATAAAGCGGAATACGTTTTTAGGCCTTCTGGAACCACATGCATCGTAATTCCGTCTCTAGTGGCCTTGTGAACACAGGGAAGGCGTTCTTGGCGAGGAGAACACTGGTTCAGCGTTATAGGGGGTCGTTTTAGTGTAGCATTTATGAGGATGTGTTGTTTCAAATTTGTATGGATCCGCTGATCATTGCATCTTCATGTGTCCTTGATATTTAGAACAAATGAACGGCCATAAACTATTATTATTATAAAAAATATTCGTAGGACGACGTCGAGATTGGGACTCTGTGTCTGAGAGGCTTTATAACAGGTCTTGACTGGCTCGTTGTAGCTCAGAGTTACTTTCGAAATTGTACCCCCAAAGTTGTTGGTGTATAATTCAAGTTATACATAGTATATAATCTACATCTAAAATAAATTAAATAAATTACTTTACTGATTATTCAGTGTTTATCATAAAATAATATTTTTTTAAAAAAATTTTACGTACCCCTGGGGGTACGCGTACCCCACTTTGAATACCACTGGTCTAAACCACCGCCTTTACACCACGCCGTTGCTTCGATCGCCTCGCATGTATCAGTTCGCGACTTATTCGCTTGTCGCCAGGGTCACAGTCGCCATAGTTACGTAACGGTTAACCTGCGATGTTCGCGACGAACCGCCAACTTTGTGGAAACTCGCAGACGCATCCGGATCGTACGTGATAGAAACTTTACCACAAATTTCTTCGGTCTGAGACGGATTCAGACGTTGGAATTCGCATTTAAACTCCTGTTGAGATGAGAAATTGCGAGGAGATACGGGTAATATTTTCGCAGGCTTTTGAAACGACATTCCAACTCTGCGTTTGCGTACTTTGGGTGTAGACCGAATACAGAATGTTGATGTCTGTGTCACGTGTTCTTGAAAAACTGCTATTGGTGTTGGCTTCTGGGTACAGACGAACGTAAAAACCGACCGAGAGTCGAGAAGCAATTGAAATGGGTTTAAACTTCACTTCAGAAAGATAAGTTTTCGAGTTGAAAGTTAGCGGTTAAGGCCTGATTTGAAAAAAAAATGTTTTGTATTTGGACTGTCAGAATCAGTTGCGTGCCTTTGTAAAACTGCGTAACAGAATATCAGTTTCGCAATTTCCGCTCTTAATTACGTCGTTATGAATTGTATTTCTGTCCTTACAAATTCCGTTTCTGTCTTGCGAACAAATGCAAGACGAAATTGGAGCCTTTTTTTAAATTTTACCGACATCCGAGTTTTATTTTATGGGACCCTAAAGTTTCGTTACCGTCTTCACAAAAGCCCGACACCGATGAACCATGTTCTTTTGAGATCAATTATTTATTTTATTCCGTCTGATCACAATATAATTTTTTTATTTAAAATTTCTTATAATTAAGATAATAAAATATCATTCATGTTCCATATCGATTGATCGATTTACATTTCGGAACATTTACACAACATCATAATTGAGTTTTAAGTTCTTCGATATATTTTACACCTGATGATGGTTTTATAAAAACCGAAACGTGTTTTGTTTTGAGACTTTTTACGGATTCAGGTTGGCGTTTTTAAAAGATCGAGATCGCTACTTTATCGCACGGACACAAATTACGGCGATGATATATCACAGTCCCCT